AAATGCCTTAATTTTTTCTTCATTTTTGAAAGGTAGTATAGTTTTACAGATTAAAATTTTTGGTTGTTGATTTTTTTTAATTCAGCATTTAAAAATGTCATTCCATTGCCTTCTGGCTCCACGGTTTCTATTCATAAATCACCTTTTGATCTTACTAATTATTTCTTGTGAGTGATTCATTACTTGCCTCTTGCTGTTTTTAAATTTTTTTCCTTTTCACTGTTATGATGTGTCTAATTTTGTTCATTCTACTTTGAGTTCCTTGAGCTTACTGGATGTATAAATTAATGTTTATCATCATAGTTGGAATATTTTGCTTCTTAAAATAGTTTTTCTACTCCTTTTTCTCCCCTCTCTTTCTCAGACTTCTATCATGCATATGATGGTATGCTTAATGTTGTCCCACAGGTCTCTGAGGCCCTATTCATTTTGTTTCACTATTATCGTTTGTTCTTCAGACTGGATAATGCCAAGAGAACTGTCTTAAAATTCATTGATTCTTTCTGTGCCTATTCAAAGCAGCTATGGAGCCTCTGTAGTGAATTTTTCATTTCATTTATTATACTTTTCAACTTCGTAATATCAACTTGGTTCCTTTTAACTTTTATCTTTTTACTGATATTCTCTGTTTGATGTTATTCTCATACCTTAAAAAATTATTAAACATGATTTTCTTAGGTCTTTGAATGTATTTAAAATAGCTGATAGAAAGTCTTTGGTAAGTCCAAAATCTGGATTTCCTCAGGGATAATTCCTATTGAATGATTTTTTTAAATTAATAAAATTTAATTTTTAGAGTAGTTTCAGGTTTACAGAAAATTAGCAAATAGTATAAAATTTCCCACATATTCACTGTCTACCCCCCTCACAGTTTCAAGTATTATTATCTTTTATTAGTGTTGTACATTTGTTACAGTTGATGAACCAATATTGATACATTACTATGAAGTTATGTCCATTTTACATTAGGATTTCTTTTTTATGTAGTATACTTCTATGGGTTTTGACAAATGCATAATGTTATGCTATGCTTCTCAATCTTCTTCTACCTTAAGTGTGACTAGAAGGCTAGAGGGGATTGGAGTTGGGTATTTCCCTTTCTCACATCAGTTAGGCTCTGTTAAAGTAGTTTTCCTTGAGTGCAGGTGGAAAACAGAACACTTGGGGTATAGCACATAGACATTTTAAAAATGGTTATTTTTTTTTACCCTGGGCATAATTCAAAATAGTTACTTTCCTCCTCCTCTTCCTGAAAACGAGAAAGAATATTTCTCCACTGTTTACTTTGAGTACCTGGTGAAGCTCCTGGAAATTAAACTAATGAAAGTGTGAGTGACCCGCCAAGACTGATTCCCAAGAGTTTTTAATTCTCAAGCTAGTCGACTCTCAGCCTCCAGCAGTTCATCAATTATAGTTTAAGTTTTTCTACCCATTCTTGGCTTCAGCAACTTCTGTTCCCAGTAAGCTATGATTTCCTGTATTTGCCTCTGTCTCTCTGGTTTTTGTGGTGTCAGTTTGCATTGTGACTTCAATTCCCTGATGGATTTAAGAAGTTGTTGATTTTTGGTTCATTATGCTTTCTTACAAGGTGTTTTCATTTTTTAATACCTGTCTTATGACTTATTCCTTGACACATTTGTCATTTGGAAATGCACATTAAATTTTCCAAGTACTTTTAAATTAATTTTATGTGACTAATTTCTAATTGTAAACTGGTTAATGTAGTTAGTTTCTACTGTTAATTTTTTTGTTGTTATATTGTTGCCTGAGATGCCTAATTTATGTATGTATCAAATTTGTCATATTGAATTCATCATATCTATACATAATTTGCTTATTCTGATCTACATGTGTCATAGATAAATGACGGTGAGTTAAAATCTCTCCCTATATTTTTTCTCTAAAATTTTCTCTGTGTTAAAAATACATTGCTTTTTAAATGTGATGTTGCTATATTAATATACACACATAAATATTTAACTATATCTTTAGTTGTAAAAAATAACTTTTTAGTTTAAGAGTTAATAACTGTTTAGCTTAAGTTCTAGATTCTTTCATAATTTGTTCATATCAAGTTTTCTTTCTCATTTTTTTTCCGTATAATTTTTATTTGGCTATTCTTTTCAGGTAAGTTTAAATCATTCATATATATTATAATAATTATTTTATTTGCACTGTTTTTCATCTTTTTTATACTTTTCAACACATTTCTTTTATGTTTGCATATTTTTGCTATGAATTTATTTCTGCTTCATTTTATTCTTTAGTGGTGTATTAGAATATAATACCCTATTTGTAATGCTTATTGAATAGTAGCATTAGATAGACTGCAAACATTTAAATTTTATATGTATGTACAATTTATCAAAATATTATAATGTCATTAGAACAAAACAATATGTTTTCTGTTTTATCATTTACATACTGTGAAAGGCTTAGGTCTTAAATGAATAATTTAATGCATTTTGTTAAATATATACATGATAAATGTAGAACCACCATACCATTCTAGATAGAAAATATTTTCTCACCCATAAAGTTTTCACCTACCATAGGCAACTGTTGTTTTTATATTTATCGTGATAGTTTATTTTCTTTTCTTGAACCTCATAACAATGGAATTATACAATATTCATTTTTATTTTCTCTGATTATTTTTGTGTCTTTTGAGGTTTACCAATTTTACTACATGTATAGTAGCTAATTGATTTTTACTGCTCAGCATTGTATTATTGCATTACTGTACAGTATTTTAAAAAATTTATTTTTCTAGTGATGAACATTAGGTTTCCAGTTTCTGCTATTATGATTAAAGTTATCACAAATGTTCTTAGATGATCTTGTAGACCCACACTTCAATTTATCTTGAGTAAAAGCTTAAAAGTGGAGTTGCTGCGTTTGAGTAAATTTTAACTCTCTAAGACTCAAACAAATACTTATATATTCTTATGTTTGAGAATTTTTAAACACTTTAAGGATTATGAAATGAAATTTAAAATTTCCTTTCTCTGCACTCCTTCTTTCCAAAGGTAATCAGTCTTAACAGTTTCTTGATCGGTTTGTTTTATTTGCATTTACAAATATCTGTCAGTCTTTTCATCTCATCTCCTTTTTAAATAACAAAAGGTGATGACAAAACATACATACAAATCTGTGTCTTGCTATTTTTCTCTTAATATCTTGGACTACATTCTATATCAGCACATAATAGTTTATCTATCTGCTGTTTGCATTTATTTATTTATAGATTTTTATATTTTCCAGTTTATTGTTATTTAATTGACGTATAACACTGTATAAGTTTAACATGTACAATATAATGATTTGATACATGTATATATTATGAAATATTTACCACTATAAGGTTATCGAACCTTCAGTTTACATAATTACCATTTTGTTGTTACAGTGAGAACATTTAAAATCTACTCTCATAGCAACTTTCAGTTACAGATACTCCTTGACTTATGGGTTACATCCTGAAAAACCCATCGTAAGCTGAAAATACTGCGAGTCAAAAATGCAGTTAACCTATGGAACATCATAGTTTAGCCTAGCTGATTTCTACTAAATGTGTATCAGTTTGTCACCATCGTAAAATCGAAAAATTGTGTAAGTCAGGGACCATCTGTATACAGTACAGTATAGTTAATTATAGTCACCATGTTGTACATTAGATCCCCAGAACTTATTCTTCTTATAAGTGGAAGATTATGCCCTTTGACCCACATCTCATTTTCTACACCCCAGTCCCTGGCAACCACTGTTCTACTCTCTGCTTCTACGAGTTCGGCTTTTTTAAATACCACATATAAGGAAGATCATATTGTATTTGTCTTTCTCTGTCTGACATATTTCATTTAGTATAATGTCCTCAGGGTCCATCCATGTAGTTGCAAATGGCAGGATTTCCTTTTTTTTCTTTTTATGGCTGAACAACACCCCTTTGTATATATAAGCTACATTTTTTTTTTTTATCCATGCATTCATAGGTGGACACTTAGTAATTTCCATATTTAGGCTTTTGTGAATAGTGCAGCAGTGAACAGGGAAGTGCAGATACCTCATTGACGTAGTGATTTCATTTCCTTTGGATAAATACCCTGAAATGGGATTGCTGGATCACACGGCAGTTCTATTTTTAATTTTTTGGAGAACTTCCATATTGTTTTCCATAATGGCTCCTCAAACTTAAATTCTTGCCAAAAGCGCACAAAGGTTCCCTTTTCTTCAAATCCTTGACAAATTTGTTATCTCTCGACTTTTTGATAATAGCCATTCTAACATGTGTGAGGTGATATCTCATTGGGGTTTTGATTTGCGTTTCCTTAATAGTGATGTAGAACACCTTTTCATGTACTTATTGGCCATTTGTATGTCTTGTTTCCATTTGTATGGAAAAATGTCTGTGCAGGGCCTTTCCCCATTTTTTAATTGAATTGTTTTTGTGCTATTGAGTTGTATGAGTTCTTTATATATTTTGAATATTAGCCTCTCATCAGATAGATAGTTCACAAATATTTTCTCCCATTCTGTAGGTTGTCTTTTCATTGTGTTGATTGCTTCTTTAGAAGCATTTTATCTTGACGTCATCTTACTTACTGATTTTCATTTTAGTCAGTTGTGCTTCCAGTGTCCTACCCAAAAGATCCTTAACAAAACTAATTTCAAGGAGCTTTTTCCTCTATATTTTCATTTAAGAGTTTTATGGTTGCAGGTCTTATGTTGAACTCCTTGATTCATTTCAAGTTAATTTTTGAGAGTAGTATAAGATAGGAGTCCAGTTTCATTCGTTTGCACGTGAATTTTCAGTTTTCCCAATACCATTTATTGAAGAGACTATCTTTTTCCCATAGAGTATCCTTGGCTTCCTTGTCAAATATTAATTGATCATCCATGTATGGGTTTATTTCTAGATTTTCTATTCTGTTGCATTGATCTGTGTGTCTGTTTTCATTCCACAACAATACCGTGTCTGAGGTAAACTCATCCCACAGACTATGCCAAGTGTCAGCGGTAAGCTCCTCGTGCGGGCTACGCCAAGTGTCAATGTCGAGCTGATGGAGAAGGGAAAGTTTGATGGTGAGATGCCCAATTGGAAGAATGCACAAGAGGCAGACATGAGAATGAAATGGCAGGCACCAACTATGTTGTGTGGAGTGCAGTTCTGTTGGGGGAAGTGCAGACTATTGCGTGGAGTGCATGGTACTGCGCATACTTCTTCTGTTCCCCTGTCTTGTGCTCCCCTTCTGCTCTCCAGAGGACCACATGGCTCCACACATACCAGAGTACAATAGTGACCTTCAGCCACACATACGTGATACAATAAGCTGAATTATGTTTACATAACATTCTAAATCAGAGGTCCTATTCCTAACCACGGGCCTGGATTACAGCCAGACCTTGGACCAGCCGGATTTTGGATTCAGCTGGACCTGGCACCCACATTCTGTTTTGATTATTATAGCTTTATAATATACTTTGAAATAAGGAAGCGTGATGCCTCCAGATTTGTTGTTTCTGAAGTTTGCTTTGGCTCTTTTGGGTCTTTTGTGATTCCATAAGAATTTTAGGATTGTTTTTTTTCTATTTCTATGAGAAATGCCATTGGAATTTTGATAAGGATTGTATTGAATGGACATTTTAACAATATTTACTCTTCTAATTTATGAATATGGGACTTTTAATTTATTTATGTTCTTCAGTTTCTTTCTTTAATGTCTTATAGTTTTTGGTGTATAGATCTTTCACTTCCTTGGTTAAATTTATTCCTAAGTATTTTACTCTTTCATGCCAGTGTAAATGGGATTGTTTTGTTTGACATAAGTATAGCTACCTCTGATCTCTTTTTGGTTTCCATTTGCCTGATATCTTTTTTCATCCCTTCACTTTGAGCCCTTAAAGCAGAAATGAGTGTCTTCTAATAGCTTGTTTTTTATCCACTCAACCTCTCTGTGCCTTTTAATTGGAGAATTTAATTTACACTTAAAGTGATTATTGATAGGTAAAGATTTAATGCCATCTTATTGATTGCTTTCTGCTGGTTTTTCGTTTCTTTCTCTCTCTGTCTTTCTTTGTGAATTGATGATTTTCCATATTGATATACTCTGATCCCCTTCTTTTTTATTTTATGAATCTACTATAGGTTTTTGCTTTGCAGTTACCATAAGGCTTACAAAAATTGTTTTAGAGCTATGATTGTTTATTTTAAGCTGATAACAACCTAACTTCAATCACATGCAAAAACTCTACCCTTTTATTTTTCCTTCTCCCACATTTTACATTGTTGATGTCACAGTTTATATAAATTTATATCATCTCCATTAATAAATTATTGCAGCTATAGCTATGTTAGTGTTTCTGCCCTTTAACCTTTATGCTAGAGCTAGTAATTAACATGCCACCTTATTACATACAATATTGAGTATTCTAAATTTTACAACATAGTTACCTTTACTGGTGAGTTTTATATTTTCATATGTTTTCCTGGTACTAGCAAGTATCCTTTCGTTTCAGTTTGAAGAACTCTCATTTCTTGTTAAGACAGGTCTAGTGATGTTAAACTCCCTAAGCTCTTCTTTGTCTGAGAAACTCTTTCTCTTCTTTCATTTCTTAAGGACAACTTTGCCAGCAAAGCTGCTCGGGTTTTCTGTAGAGCAGGCCACTGGGAACCACAATCACTTCCACTGCATGACTGATATTGGTAGACTCTGCTGTTTTTCCCTGTTCTAAGCCATTTCTATACTTTCAGCTTTGCTGGTCTCTGGCTGGGGTGAAACTGAAGTGGGTCCTTTATGAAGTGCCCCAAAGGGTAGGGAAGCTGGTTGCTCAACTATTTAAGCTGGAGAGCTCCCTCTTGGCACTAAGCAGTGTCTGCCTGGGGGGATGGGATGATGCAGGCCAAATGAAGCTGGCTTCCTTCCCTCTGTGTGGTTATTCCCAGATTTTTTGTTCCACTATGTTGCTGAAATTTCTTAAGTGGCCTTCTGAGCTCTTCCATGGCTAATTTTGTTTGTGGATAGCTGTCTAATTATTGAGATTTTTGGGGGGATGGAGGCCGAGGTCTCTTACTCTCTATCATTTTAGTGACATCACTCTGGATGATCTCTGCTTGATCTTAATAGCTGCATGATATTTTGAATACCTTCTTGTGAGAGTTAAACCAATTGAATAACAGAAAATATCTAAAAATATTCTGCTGTGGGTTTTGGTTAATATTTGTATTACAGTTGCTTTTTCAAAGACAACATTTTCACAACATAGTTTTGTGCATTAGTTTGTTTATTTTAAAAACTTATAGCAATTGCTCACAGAAATTTTTGTTTTATTTTTAAAAGACAATAACACATCACGAACTTTGGTTCCGGTTGGTGACCCTAAGGAAGTTGTTGAGATTGTTCATGAAAATAAAACGACAAATACTGAAGGTGAGGATTGAATGTAAATTGTATAGTAATCTAAAGAAACTATATTTATATTCATTCATTAGTTTATGATGTCACTATTATATTTTTTAAAGAAATAAACCTGAAATATCAATTAATAATTAACAAAGTAATATACAATATTAAGAATACAATATTGTAGCATATTTTATTCATAATATATGTTAATTATAATTTTGTTCATAAGAATTATTTACAATTTCACAAATGTATGAATTTTTAAAATAAAAATGTTCTTTATTGATCATGCTAGGTGCTAGAACCTTTCCAGTTCAATGGAGAAATGTCTCTTAGAAGAAAAAGGACTGATATTTTGGGGGCGTGAAATGCAGAATGAAAAATTGTTCATTGAGAATTTATAAAACATTTCTGAAAGTGTTTCAGGTGTTATATGTGGAAAGAAATGGAAAGATGAGGAAATGTATACATTTAATATATAGGGGTTCATACTTATTGTTTCTTAGATAATTCTGGTGGAGAACTTTGTATCAAAATTTTTTAATCTTCATTTTGGTAAATTTCTTCTCTAGAGATTTTCAGTTTGACAGGATAAAATTGGGATAAGTTGCCATTCTGATTCTTTATCCATTTCTGTCCAGTGGAAATCTTAAATAGAATTTTAATGTCCTGACTTAAAGTTTATTGCCCACAGTTAATTATGAGCCATAGTTTGGGACAAACTTTTAAAAATATCAAATGATTGATTTATGAACCAATAAATTCAAAACACTGGAATAGACATATGTTGCTAGGGTGCAGATATACTTAAGAAATGGAGTATATAATCTTTAGGCCAAATAAAATATAACAATATACTAGTTAGAACAGCACAATAGAAAAGAGTGTTTATAAAGAGTAACAGAGATGACAAAATGTAGTGAAAAGGTTCTGTACTTGATTTTAATGTGTGGGCATAGGGTTTCCAAGCACTTCTTGGACACCAGCTGGATGTCCTACAAATCAATTCAATTCCGACATCATCTACTTAGAGATAGCCTCAGATTTTACAGGTTAAAGGCTTAGTCTTTCAAGAGTACTCCACCCTCCACTTCAGATGTCAGTGGAAAACCCAGGTTATCACCTGTGCTTCTGATCAGCTGCTGTAGATTGGAGGTTTTAATGAACACCCTCCCTTTGGGTTCGATTAATTTGCCACTCTGACTTGCAGAACTCAGAGATATGTTACTAGGTTACTGGTTTATTATGAAAGGATATAACTCAGAAACAGCCAGATGGAATAGATGCATAGGGCAGTGTATGAGGAAAGGGCACAAAGCTTCCATGCCATCTCAGAACTTGCCACTCTCCCCAAATCTCCATATGTTTAACAACCTGGAAGCTCTCTGAACCCTGTTGTCCTGTCCTTTCGAGTTTTTATGGAGGCTTCATTACATAGGCATGCTTAATTAAATCATTGGCCTGTTAGTGATTGATCCAACTCCTAGCCCTTCTCTTCTCAGAGGTTGGGGATGGGACTGAAAAGTTCTAATACTCCAAACACGTGGTTAATATTCCTGGAAGCCAGTCCCTTACCCCTAGGTGGGGTCCAAAAGTTACTTCATTAACAAAATGAAGAACACTTTTAATGCTTTCATTTCTTAGGAAATTCCAAGGGTTTTAGGAACTCTGTACCAAAAACAGGACAAAGGCCAAATATTACTTATTTTAAGTCACAATATCACAGTAGTACATGACAAATGGATAGTATGGGCAAGAAGTACCTTCAGTGTTTTGAATAATACCAGTGTTTACAGTCTCTAAGGATTAATAGAGCTGTTAATGGATAAAGACAGATTTGAATTGAATCTTAAAGAATGCATTTGTGTATGAAATAAAAAGTGAGGAGAATATTTAAGCAAGAACAAGATGAGTCAAATAACAGTGATGAAATAGTACAAAATATGGACAAAATAGATTACTTTGACTGAAGCTTAGAGAAGATTTCAGAAATGTAAAGATAATTAGTTAAAATAAAACTAGAAATTATCAAGGTACAATCAAAAAGCATTTTAAATTTCAGACTCAAGAGTGTGAATTTTATTTCTTGGTCTTTGGTGGTCCTATATATATTTGAGTAATGGTATTACATAACCAAATCCTTTGCTTGGAAATATGAGTCTGATATCAAGACTTGTTTGGTTACAGAGGAAATATGGAGACTAATTACCTTATCATTATAGTCCAGGCTTAAGGTAATAAGGGCTTGGTGTATGGAGGATCAGTGGCTATGAAAGAAAAGAATTAAGGAGCCATTGTAAACAAATTGTTAAGATATGGTAATATATTGGCATAGAAACTTGAATGAAAAGAGGATTCAACAATGATTTAACTGTTGCACACTTTGATAATGGGAATAGAGAAGAAAGGAAAGGAGGTTGAGTGGAATAAAGATGAGTTTACTTTTAGAAGTACCTGGTTTGCATTTCCCTAAAGCTGGCAATGTTGAGCATCTTTTCATATGTTTGTAGGTTTGTAGGCTATACAAAGAACTCATACTACTCAATAACAACAAAAAAACAAACTATCCAGTCAAAAAATGGGCAGAGAACCTGAACAGACAGTTCTCCCTAAAGGACATACATATGGCCAACAACTGTATGAAAAGATGCTCACATCGCTAGCTATTAGGGAAATTCAAATCAGAACCACAATGAGATACCATCTCATATCTGTTAGAATGCCTATAATTAACAAGACAAGTAATAATAAATGTTGGAGAGGATGCGGAGAAAAAGGAACCCTCGTACACTGCTGGTGGGACTGCTAATTGGTACAGCCACTATGGAAAACAGTATGGAGGTTCCTCAAAAAACTAAGAATTGATCTACCATATGACCCAGCAATCCCTCTACTGGATATTTACCCCAAAGACATGAAAACCCATATCTGAAAAGATATTTGCACACTGATGTTCATAGCAGCATTATTCACAGTGGCCAGGACATGGAAGCAACCGAAGTGTCCTACCATAGATGATTGGCTAAAGAAGCTGTGGCACATATATACAATGGAATATTACTCAGGCATAAGAAGAGGTGCCATACTGCCATTTGTGACAACATGGATGGATCTCGATATAATTATGCTAAGCGAAATAAGCCAGACTGAAAACGTAGAAAATCACATCATATCTCTTATATGTGGGATATAAACCTAAAAGCAACAAATGAACAGGACAAACAGAGACTCAGGACACGGGACAATGGACTAGTGATTACCAGAGGGTAGGAGGTGGCGGAGGAGGAGAGAGCTAGACGGGTTAAAGGGGGTCAAATATGGTGGGGTTGAGGAGTTGGGGAAGGGTGAAGTGGGTAAAGGGGATCAAATATATGGCAGCTGAAGGAAACTGGATGTTGGGTGGTAATCACAGAATAGACTATATAGCTGTCAAATTATAATGTACACCTGAAAATTATATAATTGTATTAACCAATGTTACCCCAATAAACTTAATAAAAACAAACAAACAAACGGAAAGGAAACTAAACCTAGCCGACCCAGGGGGAAAAAAAAAGTACTTGGCTTTGCAAATGGGTTTGTTCCTTCAAGACTACTTTTGGCTTGTTGGCCTTGACCAAGTCCAAATGTTTAATACCAAGTAGATTGGAGGCAGGCCTGCAACCAAAATTTTTGTGTTGGTATATCTGTACTCTCTCACCATTCCTTCATTTACCAAATAGTGCCTGATTATTCATTCTGCATCAGGCACCATTTTCAATGTTCGGAATGTATCAGACCTCAGCTCTGGACTAGATCTTGCATTTTAGGCACTGATTCTGAGCAAGGAAGTTGGAATTGGGAAGATGCTTAGAGAGGATGAGAGTCCTCTTTGAGCTTAATTCTTTAAATACTCACCCTAACCACTCGTGCATGAGTCTCACCAGGAGGTCTATCAACTTATGTTTGACTAAAACCACTAATTCATTGTGTTATGGAATTTTAGGTGAAAAAGATTTTATAAAATGCCCCACCAACCCATTCATTTATTAAGTGAGAAATCTGAGGTTGGACAATGAATAGTTTGTTTTAGCTTAGGAAGCTCAGTTAGTTATCAGTCAAGTCAAAAAATGAATGAACATAGATACCTAATATATCTAGGTATCTCTATAAGGTGAAGAAAATTAAAAAGAAGTGGAATGTAAAGTTTTAACTTACACCATCATGCATTAGAATTAAAACAGTAATAAGAACTCAAGAATTCAGATTCTATCCTGTGTTGCTTATGATGCCATGTCTTACAGACTTCTGGTGCAAAATTTAACATCATAGTATTTCATTTTTCCTGCTTTACCATATGTAAAATGTTAATCCTAAACCATAGGGGTGCTATAGAAATTAATTGGTATTCACATAATAAATGGAGAGTAGAACATACAGAAAAATGTTAAATAAGTCATTTCTGTCTCTGTTTTCCCCACATTTAATGAAGCAAAACAAATGTTTTAAATACAAGGACAACTGCCTGGTTGTTAAATGTATATTAAAACCTTAATTCTAGGGAGAGGGGCACAATGCCTTTATCAAGATATTTGTATAGAAGATTGATATGTAATTCTCACCAGCTTGTTCTTTGTTCTGTTGACTATTGAAGAGATGAAAAAATATATATCTATCTGTGTATGAACTAAAGAGGAAAGATAGAATATAACATAATGAAATAATCATTGCAAGTATTTGTGTTTGGTATGGTCAGAACAAACGAAAATACTTCAGAATATTAGCACTGATATCTCGAAGGAACATTCAAAATTCAAAAACAAGTGATATGTGAAACATTTGAGATACCCTGAAATATATTTTTAGGACCGCTTCTCTTTATTTTGCTACACTTTTAAAAATATAAAGATAATTATATCCATGTCCAGGGAGATATAATTCAAATGCCAGCTCTCCCACCTACCAGTTCTGTGGAATTGGACATGTATATATAACTTCTTTAAGCCTTGGTTTCCTCATCTATGAAATCAGGATAATAATCCCATTTCATAAGATTGTTACGAGGGTTCAATAAAACGTGGCATCAAAAGTACCTACCATAGTCTCATGTTTGGTACCTGTGTTTAGTGCTAAAAAATGTTAGAATACACACATACACACACATATTCATATATATATGGCATAAAGTAAACCCTTTTATTTATAAATGAAAAAGATATTCCATTTCACAGAGATTACGTTTTTGGAGGAGGAGATTATGAGACTTCATTCAAAAGAGTGCAATTTAAATGAAGATATCAAAAATATTTACCATTTCTATGGGTTGACATAGAAACAAAAGGCACAGACAATCCAGAGGCAACAGTATTACTTCCTTTTCTCAAGGTCAACTGAAATGAGGATATCACTCTGTTCTCATTGAGGCACTGAGCCTATTTTGTATCTTGCATTTAACGTCAGTGATTGCAGCTATAACCCAGACCAATAGAGTCCTTAGAGGCAAAAGGACTGCAAGTAAGCACTTTGATGGAGTTTCATGGACAGCTTTGCTGTGCTTCTGCAACCTTCAGTTGATTCGGGACATGCCAAGATTAGAATCATTGAGGCACATCGGACTGAGTGGATTTTATGATGAGTACAACTTGAATGCTATAGTGAGAACATCAATCATTCTTCATATGAAACTCCAATTTTCAGAAATGGAAGGTAGAAAATGAGGTTATTATAAGGATGTAAGGGACCTGCCTTTTTTTTTTTTTTCAGCAAGAGAAACTCATGCTGGATTTAAGGAAGAACTCCTTCAATGCATGAGTGGTTAGATATATTTACATTGGAAGATGCAGAATCTCTTCGAAAGGAGAATTTAAAATCTATTTCAAAGTCATTTTTTAAGTGATTCATGATCTATTTAGAAACAAATATATTAATATGTTTTTTTGATTTTTTTTTTAATGGTTAGTTCATGATCTATGGAATACAAACTTTTTAACTTCAAAGTTTTATTCTTTGTTCTTAGGTTCATTTTTATTTGTTACATTTTAAGTCATAAATGATTATTATAGCTTTTAAATTTTTAGAAGGTTACTATACTGTATATAACTGATACTTAACATCTTCTGTCCACTTTATCTTGAGGGGTGAATCAAGGCATTTACTTCAGCTACCCATGTCGACGTCACAGCTGTGCTTTAGTAAACATTCCAGCACCATGTGTCAACAAAATGATTTCACACATTGAAGATGTGGAGTCTAAAATACAGGAGCATGTGAAACAGGTGAGTGACATTTAAAATGCTAACATTTTTGTAAGCTCTGTAGAGCCTAAAGAGTCTGTTGCTTAAAAAACCCAAGGAGTTATTATTTTTTATGATAATTGAAATACTTTATAGAATCTTGGCTCAGTTGTATAATTTTCTAATCTAGACATGTTTCTGATAGTCTCACTCCAGAAGGGTGAAATGACCTCAGTAAATAGATTTTTTTCCCCCTACTTGTTTGTTCTTTATCCAGAGGCAATCAAGCTAAGTAGTAATTTCCATAAGCCAACTTGACTAGTAAATTAAATAGTATTTACATCCTTTTTTGGGCCACTAAACTGATTAGATGATTAGATGAGTAAATTGGTGTGTAAAAGGACAGTGTGCCCTTTTTAACTTATTTTGTTCTAAAGAAATAACTTAATAGGTCTGTCGAAAGGGAATATCATGTTTTTTTGTCTTTTTAACCTGTTTGCATTTATTATTCTGAAGAGAGTTTACTCTTGAAATCACAGTAACTTTTAATTACTTTCAAAGGATGATCTAGGAATAATAAAAACCTTCCCAAAACCTTTTATTAAAATTGTATTTCTGAGCAATTAATGCACAATCAGCACGTCCAAATGGAAGGGCAAGTTTGCTAGAGACCTGTGTTATTTCTCTTTCTTTACCACTGTTACTGGATCTGGCTCCAAAAAAGTTCTGGGAGGCCAGTGCTGATGCTTGTCCTAGGGTTTTGTTTCTTTTGAGGAAAGCATTATAGAGCATTAATTAAAATTGTGAGCTTTAGAGCTACACAGTTCGTGACCTTAGTCATAAAGGGAGATTCTGTGTTAAAGTACCAGCATATGATATATGTTCAATATATATTAGCTGTTGTTATTTCTATAATATTATTTACATCATTCTATATTAGTATTATATTATCTCTGTTTCTTTGTTAATTCTGTCTTCTGGGACCTGCTTCAGAGCCTAATGCATAGTAGGCACTCAGTAAACGTCTGTTGAATGAAAAAATAAATGAGGACCTGAAACAGAGCCTTTCTTTTCTAGATACATCTGATATACCTAGTATCCAACTAATATAGTAAGAATTACTATTTACCAAACATCTGCTATTTTCTAGGCACTTAATAAATATATATTTTTTATTTGTCCTTTACAAAAATCCCACTTGACTGGTGAAAAATTCTAAGACTTAGAAAAGTCAAGTAATTTATACATCATCACACGGGTAGTGAGCATTAGGGTTGGAATTTGAACTGAGTTCTCTCTTACTCCAAAGCCAAATTCAGCCTGTTTTATGACCCTAAGGGATAGTGTTATTTAGAATTTTGACAACATGAAACGCACAAAATAACAATGTCAGATAAACACACTTCTAAACAAAACTATGATGATAATATAATGTATGTATAAGTAAATATTAGTATACATATAGACTTTAATTTATTGTGAAATAAATACTCATAACATTAAAAAAATTTTAAGACCTATTATAGGCTTTGTATTTTATAAATTTAAAAACTATTATTTTATTATTGACTATATATTTGGTAGTTAGATTTGCTAGTGTTGAACTGGTAAATGGAGTATATTTATTTATCTTATGCTGTATTTTTTGTTTAGGTCACCACAACTATTGATTAGATATTTAATTATCTATATTTGAATTAACATTTCACAAATGAACTGGTAGCTACCAATCTTTTGTAAAGATGAATTTTTTTCTGACTCACCTGTTAAAATGAGAAAAAAAACTTCCCATGATTCTATGGAAAATGAACTTTTGGTAATATTAATTAGACAACTTTACATTCGTAGTCTTTCTTCAAAAATTTAAACTAAATAAAATTAAAGAGGACTTGAAAGAAATCTTTAAAGAGTAGCTTGCAGATTTTTGTTAAACAACAGTTAATAGGAGCTATTATTTCTCAAAGACAAACACACACACACATATATATTTTATAGAAAGATTATGTATTACATATTACGTTAATATAGATCATAATTCAGAATTAGTTACCCTAAACATAAAACCTAGTAACAAATAAAGTGGGTTACTTATGTAAAGAATGTTTAAAGTGAATAATTATCCTGCAGGAAATACTGAATTTTTGTAAATGTGTGGCCATGTGCATTTTAATAATTCCAGAATGCCTGAATGAAATGCAGGTAAAAGATATTTCTCCTCAACATTTTTATCACTTAAAAACATTCTACCCATTAAAGTTCTCAACAGATTGTACCTTTGAGAGGAAATAGCATTTTTAAATTTTATTCATTCATCACCTACAATCCCAGGCACTGTCTTAGACCTGTTAAGTGCTTGGGGAACAATGCCTCTTCCTTCACCAGTTTCCAGGGAATTATGTGTGCAGAAGGCAAAACAAAGCAGAGGGGAACAACTTAGTGATAACCAGCTGGAGCCTTGGCCCAAAGTTCCATTGTAGTTCCCATCAAGAGTTGCACAAAATAATTCTTATTTTGAATTGCAGATTATCTGATTCCTCTGCATGTTAGGGTTAAGAGTCAAAGCAGATGACTGGCTTTATTATCTCTCTAAATTGCTTAAATCTGGTGTTTTAATAATCTAATTTTTGGAAAAGTTTGTGCAAAGATGAGTAGAGGCTGGTTCATCAGGAGTCCAGCAGCCAGCACAAGGCAAGGGGTGTTTGCCCAAATACAGATTTATTTAAATACTTTCTGCTGAGGCCCCCAAATCTGAAAGTATAATGCTCTTGACTTTTACTTTGTTCAGTCCATACTGATGTTTTCCTCCGATAAAGTTCGGTTTGTCTTGGGGAATGTGAGGAGTGCATTTGGGTAGCGTGGGGTCAAGGATAGGGAGAAAGTGATGCTCTCTCTAGGCCCAGCAGTGCTTCCTCTTCTTTTAATTTGCAACAGTTTTACTTTTGTCTACATTGTCTACTGTTTCTCTACAAACTGCTTGATTTCTTAGAACAGCTTTATTGAGACAATTTACATATCATAAAGTCTGCTGTTTAAAGTATACAATTCAGTGGTTTTTAGTGTATTTTCAGAGTTGTGTAATCACAAAGGTCCACACATTATATGATCCCATTAATATGAAATGTTCAAAATAGGCCAGTCTATTGAGACAGAAAGCCAATTGATGGTTTCCTAGGGCTGGGAGTGACTGCTGATGGGTATAAGATTTCTTTTGGGGATAATGAATGTTAGTTTTTAGTCAGGAGAATCTTAATCTTTTATTAGATAAAGCCCTATAAGTAATTGCAAAGCTGTCATCTACTTTGGATATGGAATACAGTAGATGAGTGAAAGATCAATCTTTTTTAGGTCAACCTTTATAGTTTGTTTGCTCATTATATCACAGTGATTTCCATTAGGTCAGAATAAATACTGTAGAGCTTGTGATTAGCAGAGATACATCTCCCATAAGCTTGTCCATCCTACTCATTGCAGTTTAATTGCAATTCTGAATCTTGAAAAGAATTCTTCAGAGTAGAGTTACAGTGAACAGTTTCTCTATATTTTATTTTTGCAAGGATTAAGAAAATACTGCAAAATGATGAAAATAATTGCCTGGATAATTTTTCATACTAATAAAGGTTTTGTTTTATTTTATTTATTTTACCTGCCACCTTATTCTCCTAGACTAGTGATAGTTTTGTTTAATTTGGAATGATCTCTACTGAATTGAAAATTCCCTCTTCATTTAATTAATGCAAGTCATTAAGAAGCTACCATGATTTAAAAGAATGGCATAGAAAGTACAGATGTTCCTTAACTTGTGATGAGGTTACAAGTTGAAAATATTGTAAGTCGAAAATGCATTTAATATACCTAACCTACTGAACATCATAACTTAGCCTAGCCTACCTTAAACATGCTCAGAACACTTATATTAGTCTACCATTGGGCAAAATTATCTACACAATAAATACATTGTAGAGAACTGGCTGTTTACTCTTGTGATTACATAGCTGACAAGGAGCTGTGGCTTGCTGCATCACGAGAGAGTATCTTACCATATATTGCTAGCCTGGGAAAGGATTTAAATTAAATTAAATCTGGTTTCTACTGAATACATATCAACTTTTTTCGTAAAGTTGAAAAATAATAAGTTGACATCCTAAGTTGGGGACTGCCTGTTTTTAGAAATTATTTTTTAAAATACAAAAATAATAATATTATCATCAATAGTAAAGCTAATATTAAGTGCTTACTGTATATCATGGATTTAATATGCATGATTTTATTGATTCCTTATTGAAATCTTTTGAGATAGAAACTACCACTATCCCCAGTTGCAGACTAGGAAAATGATTCTAGAGGTTGATTTCCCCTAAGATCAGTCAGTCAGTGGCAAAGCTAACATTCAGACTGTGAGTGCCTGAGATCTAAGAACATCCTATTCATCACTGTGCTGTGTCATTCATCCCTGAGAGTATATCAGCTATGAGGACCTAAAAACATGAATGTTAAAATGCTTCTAATTCTAATTGGAAGACTTTGCTTTAATTATATCATTTCACAACTTTTTAAAAATTCTGAAACCTAATATTTAATCATCTGACCCTCTTGACCAAACTTCTGATACTTTGAATTCTCTCATTCTGTTAATTCAAATATATTTCATTTGAGACTTGAAGATACTTCAAACCTTGACATATCCACTGTTTCCCTTTCTGTCATTCCCATTTTTCTCTTTATTTCCTTGCCTAATCAATTCATCACTTAAAGTGCTTACCACTAGGTATATTTGGTTCTTTACTTCTTTCTGTTATCCTCTGTCTAGTCTGATAAAATGCCAACCCTGACGAGATCTCTCTGATGGTCTGCAATCTCCACTCTTATACCCAGCCTGCTGAATGGAGAACATTACAAAATAATCCAAATTTGAGATATTATACATTTGTGGTCTCTAGCCTCAATGGGACCTTTAATAATGTTCTGAAATTATGTCAACTAGAACTTTCTCTCGTATTCTCTGTATCTACTCCAGTCCTCTCCTTTGTTCAATTCTCCAAATA